GTTTAGGGTTTAGGGATTTCTAGGGCGTCGGGCTTTAAGGAGTTTAAGGCTTTGGGCCTTTGGGTTAGAGGAGCTGAGCCTTGAAAACAGCCGACTTCGAGCCGGGAGCTTTGATCCTAAGGTGCTGAAGTTCACAAGACCTAGATGTTAAGTTTAAGGTTTAGGATTTGGGGTTTGGGGTTCAGGGTTCAGGGTCTAGGGTTCAGGGTTGCAACAGACAAGAAGAAAAGAATGACTGCGGTGAGTCGGGATGTTGAACACAAGACTGCAAGCATAACTTGCCTTAACCATTTCCAGGTTAGCAACATCAAAAACAATTAGAATTGCAACTACAACAATAATGATCATAATAATGAACAAAGGATGAACATAATATTGATAGCAGCAATGATAGTAAACATGGCGATAACAAGAACAACAATGCTGATAGTAAACCAGAGAATCAAAAGCCAAGAATCATCATCATCATCATGACTTTCTCAGGATTGTCCACTGGAAATGTCTTTACTGAAACTCTGCATGCAAATGTGCCGGTGACATCAGGGGTCCCATGAGGGCACCGATCCCAAAGAGAAAGCTGCTACAGCAAGTCCTAGGGACCAAACAAAACGCAGAACCCAAGACCCAAAACCCTGAAGAAACAAGCCGCACAAACCCCAAAATCCCTATAAACCCCCCCCCCNNAAAAAAAAAAAAAATGGGCCAATCAACCCTACACCCAAAGCCCCGAGAGTCCCCCCCAGAAGCCCACAGTCCTGGCAGGAATTCGTAGATGACTGCGGGAGACATCGCCAAGCTCAGCGTCAGCAGCCTGGGCTTGAGGTCTTAGGGTTTTAATCGTACGGAACACGTATTCAAGGGAGCACAGACCACGGGTTTTTTGTAGGAGCTTTCTGTGGGCTTTGAGGGTTTCGGACCTGGTGCTGTCGGGTTCTTCAAAACTGCGCAATTGAAGCCCCCATACACCCTGAACCTCAAAGATGCCAAAGATGCAAGGGCTTGAGGTTTAGCATTGAGGGTTTGGGATTTAGGGCTTCGGATTTAGGGTTTAGGGGTTAGGGTCTAGGGAAGACTGCAACCTTCCATCATCCCCGATCTTTGAGACCCTGAGATACTGGCAGGGAGTCCTACTGCTGGTGATATAAATCCTGCATTACCTTAAGGACCCTAAACTATGGGAATTATGGTGGAAATCATCAGCCGTAGTGTAAGGCTTGTTTTGGTTTAGGGATTAGGGCTGTCTTGGTGGCTGTGGGTTTAGGGCTTGGCCATCGATGCGGATGCAGACACAGATATGTGGGTATACATGAGACATTCATGCATGCACTCCTGTCTCGCCATCAATTTCATTCGCACGTGCATGCATACATGCAAACAGCAGCACAGTCGCTTCAGAAAGGTGCAGGTTACATACAGCCGTAGAGTTGTTGCACCGCGATGTATCTCGTCCCAGCGGCTGTGTCAAGACATCAAATCCTCCGTCAACGGCCTTCAGGGCCATTCTGGGCCGACCAGGCTCCTGGAAGAGCGAGCCAGGGAATTTCAGGTTCACGACATGGGCGTTTTTGGGGTTTGTTTGGGGTTTAGGGTTTAGGGCCTAGGAACTCGAGCTGGATGATCAACAGAGGGGTGCTCGATGGGCCCTATATCCACCTTCCAGCAAGTAGCTTCTCCGCAATCGTCGCCATGATACCTGTAGTAGAATCTTCCCCACAAGCTTCTTCTATTCCAATTTTTAAGGGCAGCAAGAACCAGAAAAACGGAACCTTCGTCTGCCCGGCCAGGCGGGGCCGAAACCCCTGCCGGAACTTGCTAGGCACCTGAGTGCGAGACATCCCGAAAACGGTCTTTGCGGTTGACTAGGGTGGAGGTTGAAGCCATTAAAAAAAAGGGCCCTGAACGGACCGTATACTAAAACCCTCTTGGGCCCAAGAAGGGGACATGAAAAAATGACCCCAAAGGCCTACCTCGTCTGGAGTTTAGGAGGTTTAGGGCTAAGTACGTAGCTTCGCTTGCTGTGATAGCTGCAATCTTCATGCAGAAGGCTCCAAAACAACCAAATCCTCAGTAGAAGGACCACTTAGTGCCCACTCTCAACCTGAAAAAGCCCATAGCAACCCTAAACCCTAAACCCTAAACCCCTAAACCCCAACTCAGGCGGCCCAACCTGCAAAATGCGGATCGGAGCCGGCGCCACAAACGCGAAGGATGTGAGTCCAAAAAGGAGAAGCCTCGGGCAGGCTCCAAACAGCATGTCAGAGAGACGAACATGGGCAACTGCCGGCACCACTAGAAAAAAAACATGAAACCGCCATACACCTTGATGTAGGTACTACTACCACGAACATTGTATGATGTTGACATGATGCATTCAAGTGTATGTGATTATGTTCGCGACGACCAAGCACATGATGAGAAAACACCTCGTATGATGACGGGTAGTGATCAGGACCATGGTGGTGAAAGTTATGTTGATTATGATGATGATGATGACGACAACGACGAAAAGGTAGCGGCAATGATGATGCTGCTGAAGGTAATGCTGATGGCGAAGCCGCCACAAGAACAAGAGATCAGGCGATAAGACAGGCTTTGGCTGCCTTACACTTGCAACGAACACAAAACCCAAACCTGATCAACCACTTGATGGTATGTATTTACACGTGCATGTACATCAGTGTACCCGTGTATCCGTGTATCTGTGGATGTGTACGTGTCCGACATTTGAATCAGCTGGGTATTGCATCACACGCAGCACCAGCAGCTGGTCTGCATTTGGCCGAGTCGTTGTCGTAATTGTTGGATCGTGCAGTAGTGATACTAAGGGAGGCTGAGGGGGAGGACGACCAACAGCAGAAGCAGCAGCAGCAGCAGCAGCAGCAGTAGACGCAGGATGCAGACATATCAATAAGAGCTGGAGGGTGGATCAGCAGGGTGCAGCACAACAGCAGCAGTCGTCGTGACACGAATGCTGGTAATGCCAATATATGCCAATGCAACGTCACCAAAACTGGTGCCATTGTTCGCCTTCATAGTCGTGCTTTTCAAGGCGGGTGGCAACTTCACGATGTTCGTGTCCACGGTCAGTCTCAAGTAACTACACCGGGACGGTTGATGGCACTGCGATGCGTATGGTTTACACATCAACTGTCACACTGGTGCTAAGCATGTGCCTAGCTGCTGACAGTCATGTTACTTGCGTGAATCGAAAGTCGACAGCCTCAACTGCAACCTTCTGCAACCAAGATGCCCTGCTGCTCTGAGTTTGGGGAGCCTCTCGCAAATCTCATGCAACTGTCAGCTTCTCTGCAAACCTGTCTTTCCGGCCCGCCTTGCGTTGCATTTGCCGAGGCCAGCAGCCAGCACCGTAGGCTGCATGACTGTGCTTGAGCAGGCTACGGGTTCATCGCTAGCAGCTAGCAGCATGAGACAGCCGACACAACATGCTAACACCCTGCCTTTGGCTTGGCTTCAGATTTTCCAGCTGCAGGCGGCTGCAGCTCAGCAAGTCAATAAATGCCGATGATTTATCCACCAGTGGTGGGATCTGTGCCAACTCTGGGCACCATGGCACTGCCGAGAGCCTGAGCAGGGCAGCTGTGCAGCTGCACACACCTCCCAGCAGCTCACATGGGCCCCATTCCGTGCAAGCACGCGCGGTTCTGGTACATTTGCGCTCAGGACGGCGAACACAAGCTGCGAATGAAGTAGCTTACGCGCCGCAGTTCGCCGTCCCGCAAAACATCGAGAGTTTAAGAATACTGCTTCTTCACGAAGCTGCAAGGTATGAGCCCAGGTCTTCCCTGGGGCGCCGCGGGATAACTGAGCGTAAAGCCCATCCCAGACAAGGCTGCAGACGTGCTGCTGTACATTGCAGACAAGCATGGATCCAGAAATATTCGGAACGACAGCTCAAAGGCTCAAAGTCAGCCTCAGCTGACCCTGGATCCAAGATCCACCCTGCCATCCAGAGGTCGCTGTTCGGTCTGGTGCAGGGAAACACCGCCACACAGCGGCATTGTGGGTGCCCAAGCTGCCCGTGGTTCTGGCAGCTTGAAAGCCCCCTTCTCAACCTAGAATTACAACGCGAAGGACTCTATGCCAGCTCCTTAGGCGAATGCCTGCATCTGGCATGAACTAACGTAAGCTTTGTACAACACTCTGCTGATGCACCGGAGACCAGCAACACTTTAGACTCGCTGCACGAAAGGCTCGGCTATGCACTGGAACACCTGAATCTCAGTGCCTGCGTTAGTATCCGTCAACTTGACATCTGCGCGCATCAACATACTTCATGCCCCCCTTGTGACACAGCACCAAGGAAGGCAACGCTCAAGCAACGAGACAAATCTCCACCCGATTTGGGCGAAACATGTCAGGCGACGTAACGGCCTTAACTCTGCGAATTCAGTTGTATTGCAATTCGGAGACCACCGCCTCGGAGGTGACAACTTTCTTCGCCAGGAGCGCCGCGCGCCTCTGCTGACTCGTTTCACTCCCGGTTTGCGGTGTAGAGTTTCGGGTTTTGGGGCCTTCCTAAACCCTACACCCCACACCCTAAGCCCTTAAGCTTAGAGGGCATCGGGTGCAGCTTTAGGTTTAGGGCCATAAGTGAAACTCGCAGCGCGGCCGCGTCTTGAGCGAAGCCAAGGCACGGTTTGAAGGAATACCCTCAGCCGCACAGCAAAACTGCCACAACAGCCACCGTCTCTAGGGGATCTCTCGGAGACACCAAAACCCTGAATCAAGAAATAAATCTTACACTGCAGGGGATCCTTATTATGCTTTAAGTAGGGCTCAAGGAATGGACTTTAAACTCTCCCAAAAAATATCCTAAAACTACGGGTAAACCCTAAACCCTAAGCCCCAAACCCCAAAACCCCTAAACCCCTAAACCCTCAACCCCAAGCCCTAAACCCTAAAACCTAAACCCTAAACCCTAAACCCCATTAAGATATATATATATATATTCTCCCTACCTTCAGGAGCTCTCGGAGTCGCTAAGCTCAAAAGAAGCCGAGGCTCATGGCAATCCCTCGTTCTCTTGCCGGCTCAATAAACCATCTTCCATGACTTTCCTGCAAAAAGCACTGGTTTCTAGGGGGTCTTGCAGGAAAGGCTTCTGAGCGTTTAGGGTTTAGGGGTGTTTAGGGGTTCGGGGTTAGGGCTTAGGGGTTTTAGAGGTTTAGAGTTTCGGGGTTTAGGGGTTTAGGGGCTTTAGGGGTTTAGGGTTTAGGATTGAGGGTCCTGCACACCACGGAGGCTTTTTATGCCTTAGGGCTTGAGGCTTTAGGCCGTTGGGACTTTGGTTTGGGCTTGAGCACTCAGGGAGTTGGGGTGTGGGAATTGGAGTTTTAGGTGCTGAGGCCTATGGCCTCTACGGCTTCGGCCCGTAAGAGAAACGGGTAAGGGAAGTCAGGATCGGTCTGGCCTGTCCCACTCATCGCGTAGCACCTGCGAGTTCGTTTATGAGTTCCACCGCTCCGCTACTAGGTACTGCTCATGACCCAGACACAGAGACACGAAGAACAGCAGAGCAGCCATTACAAACACCGACAGCTAGCACCACAACAATCACAGTCACCGGCACCACGACAACGACCACGACATACCACGACCGACACAGCAAAGGCTCGACGAAGACAACAGCAAGCACAGTAGTTGGAGCAACACAGCTTCGATGGCCACCGCATCTGGGCAGAGTTTCGGCTCTTCTTGCCCTGCCTACATCTTGGGCTTTGTTGCAGTGGAAGGTGTCGCACGTTCTGACAGCACTGGGGAGGGTTGTGCTGCTTTCCATTCCCGTCTTGGTCCCTCGAAAATGCGATTTGGCACATTTTGGCAATTTGTCGGGAGCCGTTTGCCCCGCAAAAAGAATCAAAGCCCCTGATTTCAGGAATCCTTGTGGCACGCTTCCGGAACACTTGGGCTTTCCGTTGCTTGTCCCCTCTGCTGTCCAGTTTCGTAGCTTTGCAGTGTTGTTTGCATGTTTTGGTACGATCTTTGCATCCGTACGATCACTCCTTGCTTTGAAGGCCTACCAAGAAAAATGAACTGATGTTTTTTCTTGATGCCCTGGTAGGCTCATTCTCCTGATTTGCCTCTTGTCCTAGCACGGTTTAGGGTTTAGGGCTTAGGGTTTAGGGTCAAGTAGCCTCAAACAGCTGTAGTCTTGGTCCCTCGAAGCTAATGTGCAATTATCTCACGGCCACTTCCATGTGCACCCATTAGTCACTACATTTACAACGATGACAATGCCAGCGAGAATGATACTGCTCAGATTGATGGCGCTAGCAGCTGGTAGCAGTACGATGTTATCAACTTTGTCAGCTTAATAAATCAACAACAAGGTCATCATCAACATCATCACCACTGCCATCATCATCAACACAAACACAAAATCGTGCTTGCATCAACATCCTCTCATCATCAACAGCACCAGTATCATCGACAACATCGGCATCATCACCACCAGTATCGTTGTGGTCCTCACGATGACGACTATGTGCAACTGCAAACTAGCTCGACGGCGCTAGAATCACTTGGCCACACCCTCTCTCCACTCCCGCCGAGTGTCTAAACCCTACACCCCAAACCCATTCAAACCAAAATTCTGCAACCCACCCAGAGGCCCCTAAGATCCCTAAGTAGTTCCTGCTTAGAATCCTATAAGGTAATCCCAAAGAGGAACTACTTAGGGGCCTATGGGTAGACCTAAAATGCCGAGCCTTAACGCCCAAGAAACCTAAACCCTAAGGGTTCAGGATTCGTAGCTTTTGTAATTTATAAGGTCTAGGGTTACAGGATTTATAGGGGTTTTTAGGGTCCCTAAGACGTCGTTGCCTGACTCTCCAGAGCAATCTGAGAGAGGATCTGCGAGATTGGAAGAAGCTCGAAGGGCTCCTTCTGCTTGAGGCCAGAATGGGGCTTAGGGTTTAAGGGCTGAGGGTTCAGGGTTTAGGGTTTAGGGTTTAGGGCTTAGGATAGGGCCTTGAGGGCTCGATTTATGGGGGCTCAAGGTTTAGAGTTTAGGGCGTCAGGCTTGCTTTTGGTAACACAGCCCCCCGGGACTCCTAAATTTTTGCAGGTCTTAGCAAGTTTTGGCGTGCGGGGTTGAGGGGGGCGTGGGGGGGAGGGGGTGGGTGGGGCTCGTTCTGGGGGGAGGGGGGGCTGATGAAGCACTTTTCAACAGCACATCCTTTTTAATCGGTATTTACAATACTTTCTTTCGTGATGTTTAAGTCCAACACAACGATGATGATGATGATGACGGGTTTAGGCGCTGGTACTCCACTGCCCGTCCAAGCGAATAAGTGTGAGATCGTCATCCAGGCAAAGCTTTCCTCAACGCTTGCTTCACAATGACCTCAAAACCACTGTAAAACGCAGACAATGCCCCCATTCCGAGTGACCCCTCTGACCCTCTCGAGGATGGGGCTCTTATAACTCGTCCCACGAGCAAATATGTGCTGACACCACCGTTCCGCGCACTTTTGAGCCTACACGACGAAACACTCACATGCAAACCGTCAGGAGTCACTCGAGCATGTCTTACCTTGCTTTTAGGCTTTAGGGTAAAGAGTGCAGTGTTTAGGGTTTTGTATTGAGACTTCAAGGCGAAGACAGCAGAGACGCGAGCAAGAGCAGTTGCTCCAGGAACTGCTGGGGTGACTGGTTTTGCTGCTGAAATCGTAGGGTTTTTAAAAAGTGCATTGAGATTGTAGGGTTTAGTCTTGGGCTGGGTTCAGTCCCCGACCTTTAAATTTAGGGTTCAGGGACTATGGTCTAGGATGCTGATGCCCGGTCCTCCAGCGCCGCAGCAATGCTTTGTATACCTGAATTTCTACCGAAGATTTGGAACATGTCAGACACCCAAACATCGCCCAAGAGACGCACTCGGGTGGCTTCGCAGAGTGCGTGGCACCGAGAGAGGTGCCCGCCGGCTTTCTACCGGAGGAGAAATGCAGCCCTGATGCCAAGAAAGATGTAGGCGACGATCTGTTCGCCAAACACGGTCATTATCTTGGCAGGACGAGACTGTCCCCTAAGCAAGGATTGGACGTGTTTGCACCGCTGCGGAGTCCTGTCGTGACCCGTTGGGGTCCCGGCTCCAAGCTGGCTTTGCAGAGCCAGGGGCAGAAGGGCCAGGAACAGGAACAGAAATCCTTGTCTTTGCATGCAAATTCTGCGCAGCAAGACCAAGGCCGTGCCAAGTCTTCAAAAATGCCACGAGGCACGACTCGTGTGCGTAGCAAAGCCCAGCGGCGTCTCGGCATGCAAGCAGGAGACAGGGTGCTGCACTATCCGCAGCAAAGAATCCGTCAGTCGGAGAAGCACCGAGCATGGTTACAATTAAAAAATCGCGCATGACCACCAGATGCTACCCTAAACCCTAAACCCTAAACCCCAATCCTGAGTCTGAGACCGAGGGTGGCAGAACATCCTCGCAGCTTCCCACAAAGTTCGATAGCTTAGACCTCACGCAGCGCCAGCAGAGGAGTCAAAGCATGTCAAAGCACATCAGCTGCCTTAAACTACCCCAGTACCCTGTATAGTACCCCCGACAGCAGCCCTTAAAGTAGCCCTTATACTACCCCCCATAAGCACCCGCTGCAGTACTCCTGATAGTGGACCTGAGGTCGGGACAGCGCTGCATCCATGGCCATGCGTTCGGTGTCCGATAGGTCCATCTTCTTCGAAATCGCCTGGGCAGATACCGAAATGATACAGGGGTAACCATAAGCGCCTGCTTATGATTTTACGATAAAGGCCAAAGGTTGCTATAAGTACTACAAGACTATACGGGTTGCTATATGGGTTACGATTTAACATCATGTCAGCGGCGGCTGAAGCAAATCAAACGGCGGCACTTGGCTCCCAGCGGCCAGTCGGTGCACGACGAAGAGAGGAGCCGAAATCCCGGCGGGGCGGTTCATCACCTCCACTAAGTCAGAGAGTGTCATGAGGCCCTCTGCTCCAATATTAGATCTTATGATATTATACATATTAGATATTCTGATCCAAACAATATAACTTGCTGTATGAGAGTAGATGAAGTTATATTAGACTATATTATGTTATGCTATGATATATTCATTGTAACATATTATATCATACTACATCATATCAGCATCATATCGTATTACATGATCATGTTTTACCTTACACTATAATATCTGATGTTATGTTCCATTCTGTTTGTAGTGTCTTATACTCTAATATATTAGGTTGCATTACATCATGTTTTATTCTACTATATTATATTATGTCATACTATGCCATATTATACCGAATATATACATATATACATATATACATATATACATATATACATATATACATATATATATTATATATACATATACACATACCTGTACATCTACATCTACATATACATATACATACATATAGTGTTATAATATATATATTCTTAATTATGCTACATTATATTATTCCATTCTATTTTCTATATCTTAGATTGCATTGTGGTGTTATTTGTTGTACGTGCTATAGTTATTCTGTTTTGCTATGTTATCATCTCATATTATGAGGTTATAATCCATTCAAGTTATAACAATTTGTTTTGTATCATATCATACCATATCTTAAAATAACATGTCAGGTCATTCCATGTCATATCATGTTATTCTACATCATCTTGTTTTGTACTATACCATATCATAAAATTTGATATCATATCATATCATATCATATTAGAATGCACATATTATATTACACTATATAGTCCCACTCCCGAGGAGACCTCGGCGATCTCAGCCTCCGTCAAGCCTCCGATCTCCGGGACCTGCAAAGCTAGGGCCCGATTGGGCTGGACTGAGGTGGCTAAACCCTAAACCCCTAAACCCCTAAAACCCTAAACCCCCAAACCCCTAAAACCCTAAACCCCTAAACCCCTAACCCTAAGTAAGCCCCAAAACCTAAACCCTAAACCATTTTGGTGTCTGAGGCTCTGCTGGGGGCGAGGGGCTGAAAATGGGGGCTCTGCTGGTGGCTGGGGTCTCTGGACCCTGGCAGACTGAAATTGAGGGTTTAGGGGGTTCAATGTGACAATGACAAGCAATTTTCAGAGCTCACGGATCAGAGTTTAGTAGGGTTTTGGGTTTGGGAGTTTAGCCCGTGGTGCCTCGTGTGCCTCATGATCCGGACCCCGGGACTGCCGCAGCTGGGTCCTCAAGTCCAGCCCGGAGCTCACGTGGCACAGAAGAGCTGCGGGGAACCTGCAATCGTAGGTGATCATGAGGCACGTCTGCATGCAACATCTGCACCCCAGGAACGCTGGGATCCAACGGGCGAGCTCCATGAAGTGGTCACCTGAGCTGACAAACCGACCGTAGTGCTCAGCACCAAGGGAAACCAGAGAAAGCATAATGCCTTTGGTGCAGTTCGAGCAGCGTCGCAGGCTGTCCCGGAACTGCAAAAGGCTCCTGAAGAGCACACCCAGTCATGCTGGCGCAAGGCTCAAGCTACTCTCAAGCTCCTTTCGCTCCCCCTTCCGTCTTGAGCTGGAACACTTTGGACACGCGAACAACTCTTGACAGAGCGGATGCCCTCGTCCTGCAGATGCTTAATACGTCGTCCCAGAGATCATAGGCCCGAGATGCGCGGGACTGCGCACCCGTCAGCCGGAACCTGGCAGCGTCGGTCATTGGCATCGCCGAAGATGCCTGTATGTCCTGCCTGCTCTGAGACAGCTGAGCTTGCGACGCCAGGAGCAAGCTCAGCATGAGGAAGCCGATGATGAAAGGCATGGTAGGAAATGTCAAGTCCACAGGTCCTTCAGCACGAGCCGTATAGCCACAAGAACAGCAAGCTTACGATTCCTTTCCTCCTCAAAAGCTTGTCTTGGACTGCTCTGCTCACCAAGCCGTCCTTGCCCCAAGCAAGCCACGGCAGATACCAGGTTGAAGAGCAGCAGCGGCCCTTGCAACCTCATGACAAGAAAAGAAAAACTAACCGCACAGAGGCAGAGAGGTCTACCGGCTGCGGACAGCTGGTGGAAACGAACTGCGATAACAAAACCATGACCATGACCTGACAAAGGCGATGACGGCCGCTAAGATAAGAGAACAGCCTGTGTGAGGGTGGTAAGCATAGCAGCAATCAGCGCCCGTTTGCAAGAGTTGGAGTTGCTGGAAACATCACTCAAACTTGCAGGTGCCCCTCAGAAATACGAGCAGAATGTTTCCGACCACCAGTAAATGGCCACAACGAATAATGGTCCCCCAAAACCGAAATGGCCCTAAACCCTCCAACCCCTCAACTTGGCATGGGACTCACGGAGCAGGTCCAAGCTTGTCAGGACCCTCCCGATGTCAACGCTTCGAGAGCTCTCTTTAGCTGTCTGCCACTCCTGCAAGCACGGTTTAGGGTTTAGAGTTAATCTATACCACCAACAACAAGTCTAGGAACAACACCAGCAGTAAGAGTGATGGAATCGGCTGGAGCCAAAGTTCGAGAAACATGGTGTCAACCCTACTTCGACTAGTGACTGGTGGTGACAATCATAAGGTTCCTACCACTACGACTCCGCCTTCGTCTACACTTGCACATACACGGCTACGACTGATTCCGGCGACGACGACGATGACTCCCAATGCTATCACCACCACAACAAGCTGCAAGGCTGTGGAAATCGCTGTCGAAGAATACACTGAACCCTAAACAGACCCTAAACCCTAAAGCCCCAAACACTAAGAACCTTCCCTTCTTCTGGCAGGTGAGCTCCTTGAAGCCCAGAAAATCGCCTTGGGAGCTGTCCAAGCCCGCTTTCCCTGCGGAGGCGTATTCGCGATTTAGGGTTTAGGTTAGTTTTTTTTTTTTTTGAGGGCCCTTTTCCGTCTGCCAGGTACTGACTCGGGAATCCGCACAGCGGAAGGCACTAACCTTAGTTTAGGGTTTAGGGTTTAGGGTTTAGGGTTAAGGGCTCAGCGGACTGAGGGCTTCGAGTTGAGTGGGGGGACCTACGGTTGATGACATACATCCTGCATTACCCCATAAATAAGGAAGATGCCCATAATTCCCATAGTCTAGGGTCCTTAAGGTAATGCAGGATTTGTATCATCAACAGTATGACGGTTTGGATAAAGGAAAAGCCCTGAAGGTTAGGGCTACAGTCTTACGCTTTTGGGCCTTAGAAGCCCCAACTCCATCCCTAAACCTTGGACTACTAGACAAGAAGCCCCGAACCCTGAACCTAGGAGGGTTTAGGCCTAGGGCTTTTGGGTTTAAGAGTTTAGGGTTTAGGGATTTGGGGGAGCTGCTCGCCATAGCCTGGAAAGCCCTGAGACTTGTGGTGGCCTACACGAAGAAAGAAGCTGCATGCCACTGCCGGCGCAATGGCCAGGATTGTGTTGACGAACCTGGGCACACTTGGCTTCCACTCCTAAACCCTAAACCCTAAACCTTAAACCCTAAACCGTGCAACACTCATGTCAGCAGCAAAGCGGGCTAGGATGTCAGCTTCATACTGCAGTAGATATTCGACGCCCGAGATCATCCAAGAAAGGCTTCAAAGGCATGATCGTCAAAGGTCGAAGAGATCACCATCATCTAGGGTCTAGGGCTCAGGGGCTTCGAGTCGAGGGTCTCGTGTATTTTGGGGGTTTAGGGTTTAAGGGTTTAGGGTTTAAGGGTTTAGGGTTTAGGGTTTAGGGGTTTCAAGGCCTTAGGGAAGCACAGTCAACGCTAAGTCACGAAGCTCCTAGACACCTTCAAGTTGACCCCAAGGCACTGGACGAGGGTCTCCGATGATACCTCCGTCATGCCGATGCCAAAGGCACGACGTCTCAGGGTGCCCTGGCATCAGGAAGCCGAAAGATGCAAACTTCTGCACATTGTGTGTGTGTGTAAATAAGTAAGTAAGTAAGTAAGTAAGTAAGTAAGTAAGTAAGTAAGTAAGTAAGTAAGTAAGTAAGTAAGTAAGTAAGTAAGGAAGTAAGCAAGTAAGTAAGTAAGTAAGTAAGTAAGCAAGTAAGCAAGTAAGCAAGTAAGCAAGTAAGCAAGTAAGCAAGTAAGCAAGTAAGTAAGTAAGTAAGTAAGTCAGTAAGTAAGTAAGTAAGTAAG